CCTACCTCCACCAAGGAGCAGTAAAACGAGTCATTGGATCACTCACATTAACAGAGCACCTGCAAGGTGCTTCCCCCTTCTGGCAAAAGAAAATGGTCTGTCTCACAGTAAGAGCTGAGCCCACTGTAGGCACCTCAATACCTTCACCTGACTTGTGAGCATCGCTTCCACTTCAGAGAGACGGTCAGGAGCCAACAGCAAGCCTGCCTACCAGGAAATCTGCAGGCATAAATCTAGAGCGGCCGTGCACTGTAGGTTCATACCAGGCCAGCACGAAGGCAATGCAAAGCTTTTCAAGCATAATAGCCTACTTAACATGTTTAATGAAGTTTTGGGTATCTGAAGGTATCTGCAAGCTCATAAATACTGGTTGGAAAAAGATTAGTGGAGGGAAGAATGTAGAAAACTAAAAAACACTGACATTTTGCTTCTTCTTTTCCATCTTAAAATGGCAATTAAAATGAAAAACATGGCATGTTGAAATGTCTGTAACTGTATTTAGATAAATTTGGGCATCTAAATAGAAAAAAATAGTAATTTACTCTTTGTTGGTGGGAAACTCACTTTTACATTAATTTTACGTGAATATTTCCCACAATCCCAGAGGCTGGCAGAGACTCCTCTGAGACCACCAGGTCTGGCCCCTTCTCCAGCAAGGACACCTGGAGCAGGGTGACTGTGTCCTGGTGGCTTTTGGGGACCTCCAAGGAGGAGACTCCACAGCCTCTGGGCAGTCTGTACCAGGCTTTTCCCTAATTCTGATTTCTCAATGATGGTTATCATCACTGGGGGGGGAAAAATAGAATGTCAAAGAATTTCATTTCAGACTGACAGACTGACCCATAATAAGTCTCTTACGCACTCCAGGGATAGAGGTAGTGTGTGATACCCTGCATCTCAGCTGGTGACTTCAGCATTCTGAATAAAGCGGTGGATGAACACGACTGGAAGCATAGGGATCTCACACTCTGCTAAGTGCAAGCAGCCTGCCTTATTCCAATGCCCTGGAGGGAACAGGCCTTGCAGAAGAATGCTGCAATACACAGAGGACAATTGTTCTGCATCCCAGAACACAAACAAACAAAGAAATGACAATGAACCAAACAGCTGGAGAAGTAACAGCAAGAGAAACATGAGCAGTGATTTTAATCACATTTCTTGAATGCATTTTTCATTGCTGACGGGTTCTCCCCAGCTTTAAGGGATGGAGGCAGAGTGCTTTCTGTGGTTGCAGCTCTGCAGCAGGAAGTGCCACCAGTGCTGTGTGCTCAGGGTTACCCAAGGGGATGGCTGACTCAGAGCGGGCCCTCCCTGATCTGCCTGGTCCTATTTCAGCTTGGAAGGGAGAGCAGAGCAGATGCTGTGGCTGAGCCCCCATGAGAAAGGGGAAAGCAGAAGGCAGTTCTGAGGCTGGAGATGAAAAAAGTAAATCAATCACCTGTCAAAATTTTAAAAATTATTCTGCTTTGGAAGAGGGACAGCTAAAAAGCAGGGTGCCATTGACTCTGAGTGGGCTCAAATTCCTTTTGTCAAACCAAAAATGTTGTGCCTCTTTTCCACATGCATATATGTATGTAAATAAAGTCATGCAAAAATTGACTGTACAACTTTCCGAATGCTGCGTGTGTACATTCTGACAAAGTTTGTATCCTTTCTCAGACCAATTTCTACAAATATAATGGTTAGAGCATTCTTCAGACAAGCCCATGAGTAAGCCCTTGGTTTTGTGTAAAACTTTATTAATAATCAGGAGTGTCTGAGTAAAAATTAAGGCTACAAAAAAAACCAGTAACAATTTGTTGCTATAAACAATAAGTCTGTACAGTGCTAAAGTAATTCAACCATCATAGAATCATTAAGGTTGGAAAGATCACTAAGATGATCCAGTCCAACAGTCGCCCTTCCTCCCACCATGCCCACTCACCATGTGCCTCAGTGCCACATCCACACATTTCCTGAGCACCTTCGTGGACAGAGACTGCACCACTTCCCTGGGCAGCCCGTTCATAGATACCACCTCCAGTCTGCCCGCTGTGCTCTGCTGAAGTTTCTGTGCGTGGACACTTGCTGTGACCTGCTTGGAAATGAGCTCTGCACTAGGAATTATCTACAGCAGAAGTCCCAGCCGTGGTACCCATGGTCACCAAGGAATTGGCACCTGCTCTGAGATCATCCACAAACAAGCAAACACACAAATGGATACAGTGATTTCCAATTCTTAATTAAATTCTTCTGTAATTTTCAGAACTTTTCCAATATTGAGCTTGATGACGTTTTCTGAGAAGCTTGATTTTTTAACTAGCACAGCCTGACAAAGATCCACTGCAATGAAGTCTCAAATAAACAGCAATTTAGGCTGTCTGTTAAGAGTTATCGTTTCTTCTAAAATGGATAAAATTGATGCATTTTATCCAGTAACCAAACTTCAGCCCGTGTACTTCTGAAACCTAATTACTTTAAATCTTAGACTAGAAATGATGGGATCTAAAAGACTTGCTGGTTCCACTTGTGGCCCACAGAAACATCCTCTCTCGCACTGGAGCCAATGCTACATGATCCAGTAATAACCAGTTATTACTGAGCTATACAGCTGAGAAGTTACTTGCTAAGCAGGCATTTCCAAACCTAAGAAAAAGGATACAAATACAGGTAACTCTAAAAGCCAGCTGTTGTGGCCTTGGGGGTAAGGGTGGGGAAGTAAATAAAGAAAAAAAGAAAAAAATACATTTTTCTCTGCGCCATGTGAAATTTTCTATATTCCAAGCCAGTTCTCCCAGCCAATAATTCTTTATTGATAAAAGAGGAGCCTTTGAATACTCTGTGAATGCGATCCATTCCTGTGAATGTGAGGCAAGAGTTGAGTAGAGATAAAAATGCCAAGAAAAAATGTGATTCTATGACCAGAAGAAGGAGGAAAGGGAAAAAGGATCAATGAATCTCCTTTATCATACAACTATCTCACTGTTAGAGGCAGCAGTATGTATTGGCATGCACACCACTGCCATTTGTGCCTCCCTACCATGCAGCCACACAAGTCTAAAGGTGCAGTATGAAAGAAGTAGGGCTCTGACACTCACTTTAGCAATGAGATGTGGCACATAGGAATGAGAAGGTGCTGAAGTGATGGATCTGAGGGCATAAGAGGTGAAACAGGTTTTATAGAAATGCAGAAATATCAGTGAGACCTTGCTAAGACAACACTGAGTGTTGTGTACACCTCTGGTGGACTCCTCTCACAGAGGACGGATTTAAATACGTGTTGCAGAATTATATTAGCACAGAACAGTTTGAGTTGGAAGGGATCCTTAAAGGCCATCTGGTCCAACCCCTTGCATTGAACAGGAGACCAACACTTCCATCAGGTGCTCAGAGCCCCAGCCAACCTGACCTTGAGTGTCTCCACGGATGGGGCATCCACCTCCTCACTGGGCAACCTGTGTCAGAGCCTCACTGACCCGTTAGAGGGCAAAGACCACATCCTTTTTATAATACAAGATCACATCCTTCTTATAACACGTCTGAGTGTTTCTTTTAGATGGATTTTTTGCCTGTCAAGTAAATATTAAAAAAAAAAAAAAAAAAAAAAAAAAAAAAA